TTGGTGTGTAGCTGATTTAGAACTTGGAGTTGCTGCAATATAGTAACAGAGGGTAGTGGTTTAGGTTGGCAAGTACAACTAGCCGAATGCTAGAACCATGCTTCCAATGTGCAGAAAACTTTGCTTATTCAGCAATTACTTTCCAGCTTGCAAGCTCTGTGTGAAAGAGGGATTGCTGTAACAGGATGGAGTATCATCCATTAAAGGCGGCAAGTGACTGGATGGATTGCGAGCTAATATGCTACAGCATCTGTAAACTATGCTATTTTATAAAATGTCAACAAATAAATTATCTAAAAAAGAACAAGGCCTCCAGATGTGAGTACTTTTAAACTAGTTATTTCACCAATTTTTTTTTAACTCTTCCTCTGAGGAATCCCATACTTAGCCATCTTTTGCCTGTTTATAGACATGGCTCTCTATATTGGGATATTGACTTTTTTTCCACGTGCAAAATTTTGAAAGTTCATCCACACTTTCAAACTGATAAAGTACATGGATTTTAAGGCTACAGATAATTTTCTGAGTTGAAGATACCTGTCCGATGGATTGACCATGACATACCTAACCTTAGAAATTTTTTTGGCATGGAAGAAAATTTATTAATAAATAACATTCAGATTGTTTTATATCCAATCCAAAATGCTGACAGGAAGTCATGCAAACAATTAAAACCAGGACAGTAAGTTAGGAGTGCTCATATATTTAATAGGAAAGAGACTCCTTGTTTTATTCTGTATATCCAAGGTCTAGGGAGAACTCAGCATCAGGAAGATAGTCAAGTATTTATTGAATGAACGGATTTCTGTTCATCGAGTTAGTGCATATGTCAAGCATAAGGAGCTATAGAAATTGGGAATTAGGGGATGCTTACATAAAATGATACCGTGTACAAACTTTAAAAGTATATGTGCTATATTAATGAGAATATACGTTAAAGGTTTTCATCTTAAATGACTTTTTGTTGCTAAAACAATATCCACGACTTGTGTTTAGGAGGTACCTAGTTTATCAACATTGTACGCACAGAATAAAAATAACATTTACTGCTCATGAAATGGAGGTTGACCAGCTGTTTGATAAGCCTTGGGTTTATAAAGATACTTTTGTGCTGAACATACTAATCCTGTGTACGGTTTGAACTGGAAGTTATTTCTCTAAAATTATGCTTTGAAAATATTGGTGCTGTGCGATAACGTACTCGGTAAAGCTTCCTGTAAATGATTTTAGACAGCTAATAGAAGTATTTTTGCATGGCGAGGATAATAGAGTTCATCGTACAGGCTTTCGACTATTTAATTTCAGTCTAAACACTAACTTTTGAACTAGTACATAATTATTTTCATAAAATGCACAGTCATGACTGCCAATTTTTCCATGACTAACTATACCCTCCCAGATGTTGTTTTAAGTTCTGCTAAGTCATATTTTCTTTTTCCAGAACTCTGTGTTCCCTCCCACTCCTAAGTCCCTCTGGCCTTTTCTCAGACTTAGCCCTTTTCCTGAATTTGGGGTAAAAAGGATCCATTGCTCTTTTTACCATTCTATATGAATATAATAGTTTTACATAAATTACTCTCAATCTCACCTGCGATCATAAAGCTTAGCCTGTCCCCTTCCTGGAGAGGTATACATTTTGTGCAGTTTCTTCTGAAAAGTCGTGAAGCCTTTCCATGCAAGAACAGCCTCATCATATGACTGAAAATCTTCTGAATCACCCCAGAATCCAGGCTGTTAGAAAACTGCTAACCATTTCCAAACTTCCACATTTGTTTTCTGCTGTTCAGCTACCTCTCCTCCAGATTAGATTTTCTTGCTGTAGCAAGAATCATTAGTCACTAGTGAGACAGCCAGAGCTTACTGTCAAGGGACACCTTACAACCCATGATGGATTCGTATTTTCTTACCAATCTGAGCTTTATGGAACACTCACCGCCCAGCCATTAGACAGAAAAACTTCAATGGCAAATCTCATCTCTTGAATGCCAGCGAAAATATTTGGCCGCAAGCATGGTTCCAAAAAAAGGTTTTCATTGATTCAAATGTATAAAAGCCTACCCTGTGCTGGTAATTGCACAAAGCGTTGAGAGATGTGAAGAAGAAAAATCCAGTCCTGACTACCCCCAAGGAGCTCTAGTGGGGAAGAAAGACAACAAACACAGAGTTGAAATCAAGTGAAGTACTCCATGAAGTCAAGTCAGTGAAGTTCGCGGGGGGCACAGAGGAAGGGCTGCAACATGGCCCTCATCCTCACACTCCTCATCAACCACAGTACATCACTGGTTATGCAAAAGCTATGCAGCTGCTCCACAAGTCTCCATGTATGCACGCTTCAAGGAATAACCATCAGGATATTTCTGCCAGAGAACAGTGAGTTCCCCAAACTGCAAGCATTTTCTACACCTGCTTGGAGAGCATTGTTGAGTGCCTATGGATGAATAAACTAATCAAGTAAGTCACGGTTTATAAGCCAGTCTTATTTCCATGCACTGGAATAGAGGAAAGTATGGTTGTGGAAAGAAAAGTTCCTGAGGTCAGAAGACCAGAGCTGCATGGTGAGGCTGTCTGTAGGACCCTCATCCCTAAAAGAATGTTTGTGAGGTCCCTGCCAGCCTTCTGATACTCTATGACTTAACCATAAAGGGAGTGGTCCAGCCAGCCTGATTATCATTATAGTTTAAGAATTTTTCCAACTTCTCCGAGTCTCCAAGATATACCAAACCGGAGGGAACTTTGGTAACTGCTAAGCTCAGGTTTACCGAAGGGGGTTAAAAAAAAATGTGTAAGGGTAGGGAATAATTTTTGACAATCACTTGGTTTCTGTGCAATAAATATCAACAGTGAAATTTTAGGAATGTACTTTTAACAGTGCCAAGCATCAGAGATCTAGAAATCGTCTGGCCACAGTCTGATTGACTGCGATATCACAGAGATATTATTTACTATAGCCAGTCTGCTTCCTCTTTTTCTTGGAAGTAGTAAAAAAATTTTTAGCATTTTTCAAACCTTGAAGGATATAATTCTATATTTACTCAAAAACCTACGCAGAAACTCAACAAATTCCTCTCTTCCCTGTCTGATAATTTGGGTGAATTTGCAAAATAAGTATCTAATGTATCAACCTTTAAGGCATTTTTTCTGTGTCACCGTCTAACGTGAAACATACTTTTCTTGCCAAATTGCTGACCTTGACACACTTAAGTCCCTTTATGTTTCAGGAGAGTCAGGGACTCCGAGTGGAGCCAATCACTCTGTAGACACAGCAACGATTCCCTGGGTCTCAGAAAGCAAGTGTAACGTTTTCTCCTAGGTACCTTCAACTCCGGTACAAAGAATCACATCCCAGGCTGGGCTAAAGACCTGTTAGGGAAAGTGACTCAGGCGGGAGACTACAAAAAGGAGGCCCACATGGTCTCGTTTTGCAAATACAAACTTTGTGGGGTATAGAGCTGGAAGAGACCACAAAAAGAAACCACCAAGTGCAGCGTTCAGCTTCTAGGAAAAAAGAACAAGAACTGGATGTGCTATTTCAGTTCAGGCAAAGGGAGAAAACAAAACTTTTGCGAGGTTTTATTTCTTTTAAAAGGAGTGTATGCTACGGTTTCCCGGGCTATATGGAAATATACAGTATTTAGTATACACTAAATGCAAATGCAAGGCTGACTTCCCTAGAAAAAAGTGGGAGACTCTATCTACTTTCTCCCGAACACCTCTCCAGTCTGTCTTGGAGGCAACTAAGGAGTAATAATAAAGGAATGATGGCAAACACTTTAACAAGGCTTTCTACAATGCCGCTTTAGTAGAATACAAGGTAACATCCTATCGCCTGACAATTTTACAGGAAAGCCCAGAAGAGGAAGCCAGAAATAGGTTCCAAAAACCAATGCTGAAGACTAGTGGGGGAAAAAAAAAAAAAGTCTGATTTTTTTTTTTTTTCATTACAGTTTCTCTACATGGGTGGGACGTCCCTGAACGTCTTCTTCTAGCCGATTGAGCAGTCTTTTCGGGAACCACAGGGCTGCAGATGTCATGCTGGAATTCTCCCAGAACCGACACCAGCCTGAAGAGCAGCTCTTCCCCAGTTACTACTCCCAGCGGGGCTGGCCTGAGCCTCGCTAACTGACCTTCGGACCTGTGTGCAGACACCTGCATTCGCACCACCTTTGTGGGATGCGACCCACGCTAAGGGCCCTGTGAGGTGGGAAGGCCAGGTATGGTCGGGGAGAAAGGAAGCTTGAAGGCTGGGAGGGAGCCCTGCTCAGAGTCACGCGGCCACCTGGCTGCAGATTCCGAGGCTCGGCCCCACGTGGGCGAAGCGCGGGGGAAATACCGAGCCCGGAGCCCCTACCGTTAGACCCCGTCAGTGCTGCCGCTCCCACCGGCCGGGACAGCACTGGTCTCCAAACGGTAGAGAAGAATCCTTTCCCTCCACCTCGAGAACTGCTTCCAAAGCGCCCCCGCTTTCGGCCCCAAGACCTGCGCACTCAGGCCGGACGTCGGGGTCGCCGGCCTGGGCGACCCGGGGACCGGGCGGGGAGCGCTGGGGGCCGGGGGACCCGGTTCCCCGCAGCACCTGGAGCCGCCGGACCGAAGGGCAGCACCGCGCTCGGTGGCGCGGTTGAATCACGCGTGAATCACTCCTCGGAGTTTCCTACCCGGAGGGGGCGGAGCAGGGGTGGGGACCGGTCCCGGGGTCCGCCCAGCACGACGGCCAGTGATCGGGCCGGGGGCGGGAGTGGGGAGGAGCGGCGGGGGCGGGCCGGGGGCCTGCGGAGGCGCCGGCGTCCGCGCGACTCTTTAAAGCGCGCGCGGCCAGAGCTCCCCCAGACTCGGGGTTCCTCGCGATCGTTTCCCTTGCCGCCGGTGCCCAAAGGGGCCTCCAGCCCAGCCTCCCCAGCCTTCGCGGCGCAACGGAATCCTCCCGACCTCGCCGCCAGCTCGTGGACATGGAGACCCTCCCCGGACCCCGGACTCCCTGCCTCGAGGACACCGTCGCTCGGATGCTGCTGCTCGGCTTGGTCCTCCTGCAGGTGACCGGAGCCTCCGGTGAGTGGCGGCCGCCCCCGAAGCCCAGGAGCGCGAGGCTCGGAGGAATGGGCTCGCCCGCCTGAAGCGGCAGCTCTCGCCCAAGTGTCAGCGAAGCCGGCCCCCGGGGCGCGCAGGCGGGAGTTGGAGGGTAGGAGGCGGCTGCCGCTTCTGCTGGAGAGGCTTGCTCGGTGTCCGGCCGCTGGGATTGCACACGTGGAGTGTGGCTCCCGCTCTAAGTTTAGCCAGTCTTTTCCAGTGGTCCGCGACCTTGAAGGTGGTGGACGTGGACCCGCACCTGCACTGGTCAGCGTCGTGCAGGGTTTGGAGAGATACCATCATCCTTCACTGCGCGTGCACGTTCCCTGATGGAGCGGGAGAGGCACTTGTGGTTCCTCGATCGCCTTTTAGATTCAATTAGAGGCAATCCTGTGGCAAAAAGTCGCTTGGATTGGCGTAGACACCACATGGTGCATGACCCTTATGCTTATTCGGTGTGGGGGGGCAGGGCAGAGACTGTGACCTGCTGCGTATTGGCAAAGCAGACCTTAATAATAAAGCGTCCTAAGTGAATATATCTGATGGTGTGACAGGCCACACTTCCGCCTGGCTGTCTGAAAGTTTCAGTATAGAGACATGCTAGATACAAATGAGAAAAGTCAAGATTTGACTTTCTTATGGTATGCGGCCCTAACCTCTCTCACACATGTGGGATCTGCTCTCTTCCATAGCTTACCCCAAACCCATCCTACCTGGCCCTCCCTGGTGAGTGGGACCTCTGGAGTCCTGCACTTCCTGGGCTGGCCTGGGACCTCCCAGGAGGCTGATAGCTCCTGGGCTGTGTGCTAGGTCAGGTTATCACAGGGCTTCCTCCATAAATCATTTCAAACAAGGATTTTCTTAGATTACAAGGTCAATCTTGCCAGGAGAAAATTAAGAGAAGTTAAGAAAATTAAGAAAAACTTGAATGTTTTTTTGTCTTGATAATTCAGTAGTGAATGGAAGCTTTCGTGGTTGCAAAAAAAAAATTAATATGAAGTTTATAGTGATGTGGGAGGGATGGGAAGATGTTTTATAGCATCAACATGAAATCATGTACTGAGTTCACGTAATAATAGCTGTTTCTCTGTTGTTTAAAGGCATTACAGATGTAGTGGCAGCATATAATTTAACTTGGAAATCAACTAATTTCAAGACAATTTTGGAGTGGGAACCCAAACCCATCAATCATGTCTACACTGTTCAGATAAGGTAAGCTACGTACAAAAAAAAAAAAAAAAAGAAAGAAAGAAAAAAGAAAATTAAGGTTTTCGATGTTTCCACTTCCCTGTGCTGAATACAAATGTCTTTAAAGCTGATTAATGGATGAGAGTATTTAACAGATGACAAAGAGGGCATTGGTGGTAATTTGCTGGCCAGAGGCATAGTCTATGAAGCCTGCAACATTTCCTCAGCTTAAACTGATAGAATGTTTTACTTGGTTTTGGACAGGATGGGAAGATTCTCAAATGGAGTGTAAGCCATAGGTAGGTGAACTCTCTTGAGCAGACTATGGCAGCATGGGTAGGTGTGGGTCGCAAGTGAAGATAACTAACATCCTCTCAGCACGCTAACTGTCTAGACTGTGAGCCAGATCTAACATGTTCAGGAGGAAACGGTGAGGAGTACAAATGTGTACATTGCCCTTAAGCAGTGTTTGATTCATTAATCTTTAGACACTGGTTCAAAATTCAGTTGCATCCATGATCTCGGAGGTCAAATCTGTGACTCACTAAGCCCGGGAGAAATCCTCCTCTGTCTGCACTCATCCATCCTGCTCTGATTGGTAGCTCTCTCCAAGAGCTGGTGATTTGCACGTTCAGTCTGAATGTCGGACATGTGCCATCTCTGTTCCTTGATGGTTTTCACCATATTCTTGGTGAGTTTGGGGTCTCTGAAACGTTCTAGGAGGCTTGCTAGAGATCTTATTAAATAGAGGAGAGCTGCTGTGGAAGTTATTTTAACACTAACTGAATAAAGGCACAATAGTACCACTGGCTAAGAATTAAAGATGTTTTGCTGTTGTGTTTGAACACAGCTCCTAAGTACGCAGTGGGTCTTTTAGGTGGATGTTCTTGTTTTTCAAAATGAACTTCATGACGACTGTTTGCTAGACAAGGAGGAGAATTTGTGTGTGTGTGTGTGTGTGTGTGTGTGTGTGTGTGTGTGTTCGTTCATGTATAGATAGAGATACGGGGGTTTCATAACCCCAGGGAATAATTATAATTGTGGTCAAACTTGTCAATTCAGATTCCACTAATTGAGAATTAGTAATTAATTCCTCTCATAGAGAGCTGAAGCTTACTTTAGTAAAACACCTTCCTTCTGGATTGAGAAAATAAGATTTTAGGAAGAATGCTTACTCCTAAATATACTCAGTCTTATGTTTGGTGAACATGTGGAAACATTTATGATTTACTTAATTTTTATTTTTTTATTCTTTTTTAACAAATCACTTCCCCATCACAACTGTAAATAATCTCCCAAGATTATTCTTTTTATTTTTAATTTTAGGGAGAGAGCACACAAGCAGGAGAGAAGAGTGGGGTGGGGGGTGGTTTGCAGAGGGAGAGGGAGAGTGAGAGAGAATCCATTGCTGAGCATGGAGCCCAATACGGGCTCGGTTCCATGACCCTGGGATCACAACCTGAGCCAATATTGAGAGTCAGACCCTCAACCGATAGAGCCACCCAGGTGCCCCTACCTGATTTTTAAACCTAAGCCTTAGTTAACCCTACGTTCTTAGACTTTGCAAGGCTGCTAATATTTAAATGAACACGTCCCCCATGAAGCGCGATGTGCACACATCCTAGCTGAGCTGAAGCTTGGCGGTGCCTGAGGGTGGGGGTGGGGAGTTCCTGCCAAGAGAGGGATCTCCCCGTACTCTTGGCCCTGCACCCCAAGGCCTGTGAACAGTCCCCAATCCTGCTCCTGGGAGACACATACTCTCCTGCAGCCTCCCCATGAGTAAGATGTTGATTCCACAGAAATGTTCTGAATTCTAACACTAAACTTCCACACCTTCTAGAAAACAACCTGCTCCTAAATTGGTGAATCTGGATTCTGCTGGAATTTTTTAGTAATTCAGATGGGACATTTATGATTTCCAAATCAGGAGGGTGTACAATACCTAGAGAAACCTTGAAGTCTTTTAAATATTAATGCTGGCAATAGCATTTAGAGGAATGTAGTACAGAATCGCCCCTTCATTACCTGTTCACATGACTTTACTATGTTCAGTGATCCAGGCGCTTGTGCTAAATTTCACCATAGAGTACTGTGATTTCTACGAGTGAGCTGGGGGAGCCCAATGCCTGTCTCTCAGATGGAACATAGTCACAGAGCCCAGGAGTCTTTCCCCTGATAATCTGAACCATGTGTGTGCCACAGTGATGGAGAGGAATCGTCATGCTCTGATTCACTGTTTAAAAGAGAAATGATATAACTATTAAAAAAACATTTTTGTCATTCTGGAATTGAGACAGACTCTACTTTTTCACAGAAAGAGAAATCTAGAAAACAAAAATATTTCTGTGTCGATCTCAGTTTGTGAATTTTAGGGCAAAGAGTGTGTTTGCCCACATCCTCTTAGCCTCGATATTTAGTTAAGATTTTTAAAAAAAAAATATGTACCTATGGCTCTCATGTGTGGACTGAGACAGTCGAATCCTATGGCAGCTCCATCTTCCCCCTGATCCAACCCGTAAGTGCAAACTGCCTAACACTCAGTGAGGCCTGGCTATGTATGATCCTTCAGGTTAGCCCTGCTGCTTAATGGGGAGTGGGACCAAGTTCACAGTAAGTGCTTTAATGGAGGTATCATTGCTGGGAACAAGGGAGAGAGGTCAATTCTGAGAAAGGAGATCTGGAGATTCCTGGAGAAAGTGGGACTGGAGCATGGTCTTAAATGGTGGGCAGGGCTCTCTGGCGGTCCATGATGCCAAAGGAGAGAACAGTGTGGCTGTCAATATACGTGGGTCAGAAGTGTGTGGATCCAGGAGCAGGGGCATTCATCTACAAATTGTTTTGGTCCTTTAGAATAATTTCATGTTTAGCAGTTCTTTAAAGTATTTCCCCTTCAATGGCGTCTTACAAAAGAAAGATCTGTTCCAGTCTCTTAGTCTCTCAGACCCTCCGATCCTGCCTTTATTGTTATGTTGTAAACTTTGATGGGCTGTATTCATATCTTGTAAAGTGAGGGAGGCATGTAGTAAAATGAGATGGACGGACTCAGCCCGCACCTCATCAGCTAGGTGACCTTGTACAAGTCACTTAGTGGTCCTGAGCATGTGTCCTTATATGTAAAAAAGATCCAATCCCTTCCTTAAAGGATTCTATCAAATGAGGTAGCCCGTGTAAAGGGCCCTGTACAGTATCTGGCATACAGTAGATTCAATGATAAATAACCATACCAGCAATGGTCAGTCAAATGTAAGATATAGATTATTATGTAGATTCTATTATTACTACATTGGCTATGTTCCACACAGACTACAGAACGTGATAAAGATACGTGTGGAACAAATAATTGGGTCTTGATGGGATGTTGCTCTCTCTCCCGTGTGACCCTAACAAATTGTCTACATTTTAAGAAAGACATTTAACAAATGGTTAAGGGCACAGACTCGGCAGGCAAAGTGCTGTGTGGCCCAAAGTCCTGCTGTATGAGCTGGTCACCCAATCTCACTTTGCCTCAGTTGCCTTAGCTGTGAAAACAGTAATTACAGAGCCATCCCCAGTTTGCTGTGAGGACTCAAATACGTCCAAAGGACTCGGCGTAGCAAATGCCTACTCAGACTGCTTGTGAGTGGTGTTGGAACCCGGCACCACACCAGAAAGCCGTCTGTCTCAGCTGCGGATCCTCATACGCTCCTCCTCCTTCCTTCAGCCCCAGATTAGGCAACTGGAAAAGCAAATGCTTCTATACCACAGACACGGAGTGTGACCTCACCGACGAGATCGTGAACAATGTGAATCAGACGTACCTGGCCCGGGTCTTTTCCTACCCAGCTGATGCCACCGATTACGCTGGGGAGCCTCACTTTACAAACTCCCCAGAGTTCACACCTTACTTAGAGAGTAAGTGCTCAGTGTGTAATACCCTTTCATTCGTGGTCTGAATGTTTTTGTGAGCTTGTGACTTGCAGGGGCTATTCCATAAAGAATACTCATCCGTTGAGTCACTGGAATCTACTCCTGAAATCGTTATAGCACTATATGCTAACTAACTTGGATGTAAATTAAAAAATAAGAATAAATTTAAAAGAAAAGAATATTCATCCTTAAACATGTTCTCTTTCTCAGAAATTGGTAAGTGCCACAGCGCTGTTGGCTCCGTCCAGGCGTGCTAGGAGGTTCACAGAACGTGAACTCTGGAGTTGGTAACAGTGTCATTGAGTAACTTTTTTCTGTCACCAGGCCCTCCCAGCAACTGTCTGGATGGAGGGGCTGGGGAGTAGAAAATGCATCAAAGCTGGAGATTCAGCGTCTAGGAGGATATTTAGATTATATATTACAGATGCAACTAAATCTCCTGAATTTTCTCTTCCATTATCAGACCACTAGTCCCCATTTCGGGTTTTCACAAACAGTCACAAATCCAGGGGGTAGGTCCGGTGTCCCTCTGAGTCCACAATCAGGCTCGCTGACCTTTTTAAATAACCTGACCATGCTCCGCGTCACGTGATGCCGTGCTGGGCAGGCTCCCAGCCTGCCTCCTTCGTGCTGGTTTTGAAAACGAGGAATGCTTTCCTCCCCAGCCTTTGTCCCAGTAAGCTGACCTGAGCATCTAAAAAGGGAATGCAGAGGATTCCTGCCAAGTAGGAGATTTCAACTTTTTTTTTTTTTTTTTTTTTGGTCAGAACTAGGTATTTTAAATAAACAGATGCAGCACATCGTGCTGGGTGAAATCAGTTGCTCTTTTAAGAAGAATTAGAACGAAAGGTTAGAATGGAAGCGTGTCATGTTTTTTATCTGGTGCTTTTGTGTGTAGCCCTGCGGCTGCCCAGTGAGAACGCTCTCTCCCGGCAGGGAGGGGGGAGGGGGGAGGGACCGTCAACCACCTGGTCCCTCAGGTATCTACTTGGAGGGTGGAAATAGGGGGCGGCCTGACCCCTGAGCGAATCTGTGTGCCTTTCCTGAGCCCCTGTTGGCCAGAGTCTGCCTTCAAACTCCTCTGTGGCCTTTGCTCCCTCTCTGGGCCCTCAGCTGGAGCATGGCCACCGCAGCCACAGCCACCTCAGTGACGGTGCAGGCTCAGTGACACTCATTCCCCTTTTTATAATTCTTGAGTTTCTTCTAAGCCACTTCAAATCCTTCCTTGACGTGAGATAGAAAGTATTTTATATATTAATTTTGCATGTGCTCACACACACACACATATAACTGCGTATAACTCGTGTTAAATTACTGGGCTTATTCTACTGTCCTTCAGCCTAAGCATAGGAGATGACCAGTTAACACTGGTTCCTTGAGGTACCAAGGACATTTCCTGGGCTTCCCACAGCCCCTAATTTACTCTATCTCAAATGTGGAACCGTATACAACTGTATTGTTTAATACAACAGCCACTAGCCACATATGGCCACTGAGCACCCACAGCTAAATGCCGTAAGTATAAAATACACACTGGATTTTGAAAAATATCTTCAAAGTTTTTTCTATTGATTACATGCCAAATGATAATATTTTAGCTATTTTGGATTAAATGAAATGTATTATTAAAGTTTAATTTCAGCTGTTCCTTTTTACATTTTCTAATGCTACTACAAGGAAATTTTAAATCACATCTGTGGCTGTTATATATGCACTGGATAGCACGCACATTAGAGGATGTCAGCTCTGGAGCCACAGGCCGAACTCCTACAGGGAAGGCGTGTTCATCAAGCTGTTTACAATGGGGGGGGGGGGGGAGTGGGGGGGGTGGGGTGTGTACTGGCTTGTTATTAACTGTGATAACTAAATGCGATTCTACTTGGTATAGAATTCTTTGGTTCCAATGAAGCTCATTTTCTATGTTTTAGCAAAGCTCGGACAGCCCATGATTCAGAGTTACAAACAAGTTGGGACAAAACTGAATGTGACCGTACAAGATGCACGTACCTTAGTCAGGATGAACGGCACATTCCTAAGCCTCCGGGATGTTTTTGGCAAAGACTTAAGTTACACACTTTATTACTGGAAAGCTTCAAGTACGGGAAAGGTGAGGATTCTTTCATTTGATTTTAGGACTTGTTTTAAATTGTGGATCCTTGACTTTACAGCCATTCTTCCCTCAATTCAAAGATGCCAGAATGGGGTGGTTGAGAGTGCAGTGTGGTGGAGGGGCAGGGGTGCCTGCTGTCCCGGCTCTGTGACTCTGGACGTGGCCCCTCGGATACACAGGCTCCTCAGCCAGGGGCTGGACCAGGTCTTCTCTGAGGCTCCTGCTGGCTCTCCCATTTCTTCCTCTCTTGAGGATCCCAGAGACAAAGTCTGTTTTCCATTCACAACTAATGCTTCATTCCTTTTTCCCTTTATTGCAAATATCTTCTAAAGGAGCTAAATTGGGTTGGATGGGCCTAAGTTGGGTATTTTCGGTCTAGGAAGAAGCATCCTTAGCAGTTATCAGGGGGAACTGACCAGCCAAGTCACTTCTAATCCATTATATGTCTGGTGTGCCCCTGCAGGCTTTTGCTTCCACAGTTGACTTAGTGAAGGGGAAAGAATTCACTCTGAGCCCAGATAAATTAAGAACTCTTGATCTTTTAACAGAAAACAGCCAAGACAAACACTAATGAGTTTTTGATTGATGTGGATAAAGGAGAAAGCTACTGTTTCAATGTTCAAGCAGTGATTCCATCACGGAAAGTAAACCAAAAGAGTCCAGAAAGTCTCATCGAGTGTACTAGCCAAGAGAAAGGTATGTCCAGAGGTGAATGGCTCTGTCCGTTATTCTTCTGGGAGGCATGGAGACTTTCCAGAGTTCGAGTGCACCCTTAGAACCAGGAAGTATTTTTGTTCAGGGAGAAACAGCCTTGTTTTTGGTTGTTGTTGCTGTTTGTTTGTTTGGGTCATGTTGTTTGGGGGAGACTCTTACAATTTTAGGCATTTGAAAATGTTTCTGCGTTGTTCCCTTGTTTTAGCTAGTGTTTTCTTGAGCACCTACCGTGTGCCAAGCTCGCTGCTGAGCAATGGACACACGGTGCATGTTTAGCATTTAGCATCAAATCACAGATTTCTCTGGGTATTTTTTTCACACTTAAATTCTGATTCTGTGGGTTTTGGGGGAGTTTCTGGGCCAGCTGCAGCTGCACCCAATAGACATCTGTGAGCACTTGCTATGGGCTGTTGTCACAGAAGACAGGAAGTTTAACCCATGAAGGGAGGGGATTGCCTCTAGCAAATATACCTATGTGAGTGTGTGTGCCTACATGGGGCCCAGACCCCTTGTGAGGACTAGTTCCTAACTGGCAGTGCTGAGAGGGGTTCAGACTCGTCCATGAAACTGACAGCCTGAGTCTCCCTCCAGGCTTTATAGGGATAGTACTCTGAGGACATTCTGAGATCAAAAGTCACAGGATGGCTCCTTGCTAAGATGAGATTTGAAAATTTAAAAGCACTTTTAAACAAATATTTCCTGCTGATTAACCATAATGGAAGAAAAGGGCTGGCCTTCGCTCTGGTCCTGTACCCCTCTGGGCCATCATTACCCACAGTCCTCACAGCCATCTCCCTCAAGCCAGCTGGAGTTCTGCTGCCTCTCTGTCTTCATGCGCACCCAGATCGCTGCTTCCCTGCCTCTGCTCCATCTACTGAAATGTGTCTTTGAGAACCGTCTCACATGCCTCCTCCACCAGGAAGCCCTTCCTGTTGCCCCAACCAATGATCATCTCTATTGACCTGAACCCTGCCAGCACTCTGCATCTTGCTCTTTGCACTGATCATTTATCTTATACTATGATAATTGTTGCCACCAAACCCAGCATTATTTTTAGCCACTTGTTTCCAAAAGCTGTTCTTGCTCCCATTTACGTGTACCATCTCCTGGCTGTGAACATTATCCAGTTTATTAAGTAGCCCATTAAATGATTTCGCCACTGTCAATTGCCCTAAAACATCTAGGGTTTGACCAGTTCTTTCCTAATCAAAATATGTTGTGGTGGAAAGGGTGGAAGAAAGAAATTTCAAATTACGCAAAAGCAGGCTGGTGTAATTTAGAGTTACACCCTCCGTTCTGCCCGCTGATAAATGGAGTTCAAGCTCTCAAAGTTGACTGGGACCTTTTGTTTTCCAGAAATGTTCCTCGTCATTGGAATGGTGGTGCTTGCAGTCATCATCCTGACCATCATCCTGGGGGTGTCCCTGTACAAGTGCAGGAAGGTGCGCAGGGGGCGAGGTTGGAAGGAGGGCTCCCCACTCAATGCTGCATAAAGAACACACCCTTGGAGCTGCCGACCATGGCCCAGTTCATGTTGCACTGCGACCAAGAACTTTGAAGAGAATAGAATATATGGAAACACAAATGAGTATTTTGGAGCACGGAGACTCTTGGGCTCAGCGATGGCTCTTTATCCGACCTGTTCTCACAGTTAGCATTCTGGTTTCGACAGCAGCATTAGACGCTGTGGAATGTAACGAACGGTACGACCCATTCCAAGTTTTTAAAATTTCTGTTTAACACTATGACATCCTTTGCACATATCATGTTCTAGAATGTATATTCTACACCCAAGATGAAACCAGGTTGTCTCATCAAAAACGAATGAACAAATGCCTTAAAACAAAAACAAAAACAAAAAACTCCTGGGTAGACTTTTGGAAGGCTTTTGAGAAGCTGACTTCAAATCACACAGGAGAGCAAAATGGAAATTGGGTGGACTTGTCTAACCTGTGTCTCTGCTTTTGTGATATATGGTGTTTAGGGTCTTCTGCTGCTTCTTTTCTGAGTTCTCTTGGAGGTTCAAAACAATTGGCAAACGTTTATGTGAATGTGTGAAATGCAGAAGACTTCTGTTTGGGGCACATTCCTAAAGCACCTTAAGGGTAGCACTTTAACTGACTTCCATGCTGTTGATTAAGCACTTGACAATTAACTATATTTTTATAAGACTACTATACAAACCACATAGAGTTTATGATTTAAGGTACTTCGAGCTTTTATGGCCAATATTGTGTATATTTATATATTTTTAAGAGGTTTTATACATGGGGATTATCTATTTATAGAAGTAATATTGTTCTGTTTGTATATATTGAGATAATTTATTTAATATACTTTTATATAAATAAAGGTGACTGGGAATCGTGGCTATCGTCTTGATTATATCTTCCACGTATTGTTTACCATTTGGCCATTGTACGAGTTGGCACTGCTGTGGTAACAAATGACCCCCAAATTCTCAGTGGCTCACACAGCATTACCTTGAATTCTCGCGTACATTAGTTTGGTGGCTGCAAGTTGACCACAGCTCTTCTTAATTAGGTTCTCATTCTAGAACCCACACCGAAGGTGAAGGCTCTGTTTGGGTCAGGGCAGAGGGAAAAGCAAAAAATTAGGAGGAAGAGTAGTCACATCTTCAAGCTTTAAGCCACCTCTTAAAACTTCTCTCTCTCTCTCCCTCTGCTCCCTCCCTACTTGTGCATGTGCTTTCTCTCTCTCTCAGTAAAATTAAATTAAATTAAAATCAAAAAGAAATTGTTAAAAAAAAAAAAAACACAAAACTTCTGCTCGCGTGCAACTGCCCCAGGCAAGATACCTGACCACGCCTGACAATACTCTGCCTGCAAGGAGGCACCGCCCGTCGCATGGCAATGGCAGGGACACATGGCATTACAGGGAAGACAGAAAATGATACAACTGACTGCAGATTTAGAAGATGTGATTTCTTCCCATGGGCATCAGTTTGAGTTGGAGATGAGAGCTGGAGAGGAGAAAGGAAAAATTCTTTGGATTATTGTCTTCAAAGAAAATTGGACAAAAGGACAATGTAAGATAGAGAAGTGGAGTGTCTAGAGTTCATTAAAAGCAAACTAAATTGAGGGACACCTGGGTGGCTCAGTCGTTTGAGCGTCATCACCTTTGGTTTAGGTCATGATCCCACAGTTCTGAGTTCAAGCCCTGCATCGGACTCTCTGCTATCGGCTTGGAACCTACTTTGGATCCTGTGTCTCCCTCTCTCTCTCTGCCCCTCCCCCACTTGTACTCCCTCTCTCTTTCTTTCTCTCCCAAAAATAAACAAACATTTAAAAATAACAAAAAGTAAATGGAGAGCTCTTTGCGGGCGGGACTGGGTCTGGCTCACATTTACTTCCCCTTTATGGTGGCGGGGCCAGCAGGCTCTTAGTCATGGCTCGGTCCAACTGACAGCATTAGCTCCCTCTAGAGAAGAGAAATGGAAATGTTCAAATACAAATAAAACACAGCAGAAGTCTTGATCTCACGAATGTGTTGGAAGAGGATTCTAACTCGAAATGGAAGGGACGTTCCCAGCACGTAGCTGGGCCTCAACCGTGTTTGCTTCCCACTGTGAAAGGCTGGGCCGGTGCAGTCAGTGTAGTTAAAGCCTCCAGATGGCACACCCACCTGGAAGCGGCCCCGCCAAGGAGACCCGAGCGGACATTAAAATAAGCAAAGAGGGGCGCCTGGGTGGCTCAGTCGATTAAGCGTCCGACTTCAGCTCAGGTCATGATCTCACGGTCCGTGAGTTCCAGCCCTGCGTCGGGCTCTGTGCTGACAGCTCACAGCCTGGAGCCTGCTTCGGATTCTGTGTCTCCCTCTTTCTCCGCCCCTCCCCTGTCATGCTCTGTCTCTCTCTGTCTCAAAAATAAATAAAAACATTAAAAAAAAAAAAAAAAAAAGCAAAGAATCCGTTCACTGTCCAGCTGTTCATAAATTTTAAGTTCATCTGTTCCTCTGCTCCAAAGAACTCCAAGCATTATCAGTAAAACTCTAAACATGAAATGTGTGATAGAACATCACAGTCTGTGGAAGAATGGGCAAAAACCCCTTTGCTGTTCCCCTACCAGTGGTAGCCTGAAAGGCGAATACATGGTCGAAACTTTGGAGATGTCAAGGAGAACATGTTGGTTTATTGGGCTAGTTTTGTTGGCGCGCTTGCCTTGGACGATCCGCACGGATGCGGGAGAGGCTGAATCATACCCTGTTGCAGCGTTTCGGTCTACCCTGTTGCAGCGTGCCAGAGAACGGACGGGGTGCGTGTGCGTGTGCAGCAGTGTCAACAACAGAGAGCTTGGCAGGGGCGCATGTCCTGAGGTAGGTGTGCTTGGGCCATTACCTGGAAGTCCTGCTCACGCGGGGCTGGCCGGGACAAAGAGCTTAGTGCACTAGACGTGGGAGGGGCGGGGGAGTGGGGGCGGGGTGGGAGAACACGTCCCAGAGAGGGCATCCGAAGGAGCGTTTCCATCAAGCTGCTTGTTCCCTGCCAGGCGTAGTCGCAGCGTTACGTGACCGCGCGGCCTCCCAATCTAAGGAATTTGAATGGTCCCATTAAAGAGAGCACAGGCCGAGTGAAAGCAGGTCGGGGTACTAATGAGGTGGCTGGCTGTTCACAGGGAAGGAATTCATTACACATCCCGACGAGGCCACGTTCGGGAGGCTTCATACCGCACATTGTCGCCGCGCCTCAGGTTTCCCCACCTGTCCTTATGGCTGAGACTAAACAGCTGCCTCTAAAATCAACACAGCAGTTAGCGCTGGGAGCAGAAAAAGCCTCGAGTCCTGGCTGGCGGCATCCAGAGACTACTGCCCTCCAGCGGGCCAGAGTATACTTCGTTACTTATCCCGGCCCTTAAAGTATCATAAAGCTGATTGTTACTAAAGTCAACTTCCAAGCTTTGAAAAGGGATTTCTATGACCTTAAATTATGATCTTAAAATACTGATGAAGTTTGACTTGTGAAATCCAAAGACATTTTACCCTAGTTACAACTGATGGCTTAAAATCCAAATATCCATCTCTTATATAAATGAACAATGATCTCTGTCCATCAAATAGGAAATAAACTCATTCCCAAACGCAATTTTTACCTGTTCTAGGACATGTGTATTTAGCGTGTTATTTCTTCTCCAAGGGTTGCCTGAGGTTCATCGCTGTTGCAACGTGACTTTCATTCAGAAGCTTATAGAGGAGGATTGTTCATTTTCTTAACACTTGACTTAATTTTCATTTAGGCTCTCTTTGCACCAGCTGGTAGAAACCATCCCGAGTAATGTGGCGGTTCCCTGGGACGTCCACTTTTTCCCTGGACTTGTGTCCACTGCCACTGTTCCTGCCTTGGGTCCCTCCACTTCCCGTGTCTAGTCTCTCCCTCCCGCTCAAGGAAATCTTTTCTAGGCGGGCGTGGTGGGCTGGAGGTGGCAGGAGCCTTGCTCGTACTCACGGCCATGTCCTCTTTCAATCTGCTGTCTGTGCACTAGTCCTGTCTGTCCAGACTGTCCAGAACCAGAGGAAACGCCACTCTTCTCTGCTTTCGGCTCCTGTTATCTCTCCCGAACAAGGAGCACAGGACTGTGGACTGACTGAACAGGGAGAAGGGTCAAGGGTATTCCAGAGCACATCATCCCACTGTCCCAACTAAAAAAAAAAAAAGCATTTGAAAATCACTTACAGTAAGGTGTCAGTGACTCATCACAGTATTTTACCTAGAGTCATACTTTAAAGAAGAATGAGAGAGTGCTGGTGGGATTTCACTCATCAGCTGTTGTGGAGGCAGAAGAAGAATTTTCTCTGTCCTAAATCAGTACACGCAGGTCTGCCACTCTGTAGGACAGACCCCTGGCCCTGCTGGCATCCGCCCATGACACGGCTTATACTTTGGGGCACCGGGGTGGCTCAGTCGGTTAAGCGTCGGACTCTTGATTTCAACTCACGTCATGATCTCACGGGTTTGTGGGGTCGAACCCCATGTCGGGCCGTGTGCTGACAGTGCAGAGTCTGCTTGGGATTCTCTCTCTCTCTCAATAAATAAATAAACATTTTAAAAAATACTGCTTACACTTTGCTCCATGCCTGGGTTCCCACTTGTTCACATTTTTAATATCCTCCCCTGACCAACAGCTAAACCACACTGTTTCCTTTTAAAGGGAAGCTGTCTGCGTGTTGGCAAAGATTAAATCTTGTGTGCATATCTGATTCCGTGAAAGAAATTGTATTCAGTTTCCTGGATACTTCCAAACCATTGCTGTGCTCCTGTGTTAGCTTAATCCAATGGTTCTGCAAGTGTGAGGATCCCCAAACTAGCGGCATTACCATCACCCCAGAGCTCGTTAGAAAAGCAAATTTAGGGGCACCTGGGTGGCTTGGTCGGTTGGGCATCCGACTTC